CACATGGTTCGTGGATAATGTTATGGCCCTGGACTCCAAAGTTACCCCGTTCTTTTGTGGAACAGGTGCAACAACACCATTCTGACACATTTTGGACAGTTCTACTTCAGTTTTCTCGTCAGCAGAATATACTACGGAAACCTGTTGAGTCTCACAGTCCCCTCAAAGTTTAATTGCCCGCCGATTGAAGGTTCCTGTCACGTTTACTGGTGCGATGTTCATCGAAGGATGAACCAAATCAAGCGCACCTGACTCATGTAGGTGGCAAACTTTTTTCCGTAGTCATTACTGTCGTATAGTTGGTTCTCCACTTGCTGCGGTAAAGCGTAGCCACATTAGGCCTCTTAGTCACATGTAGTCTGTGCTGTTGCGAGCAACGAATGAGAAACGCGTTTACTACGGAATACCAAACCAGAATCACAGAATTCTCCAATCCTCCCAAACACGAGGAACGCCTTTTGCATCCCAGATGTAGATGAAAACTCCATCAAAATACAACCACTTGTCTCAGGCTGCCTCAAAAAGACTTGCGAACAGACTGACTCCTTTTCAACAGAGACCTCTAACCATCTTGGCCGGGTTATACAAGGGAGGAAATAAATAAATAAATCATTCGGCTGTTACTCCTAGCTGCCATACCACCCGAGAACTGGGATACTGCCAGGTTGCCCAAGTCTAGACAGGGGAAGCCGAGAGGCAGAGGCCGGGTTCGTAACACGGACCTTCTGGTCAGTAAATTCGCGCTCTAACCACTTGTGGAGGGATAATTGTATTCGCTTTTATGTGAATTTTTTTCCCGTTCGTTGGCTTTCGACGTAGCGTTTGGTATACTCTACACAATGGATTATGCTCCAACAGACATTTGCACTTAGTATAATTTGCCTTCTTACTTTTTTGGTATTCATCCGGATGCTACTCAAACTCGTCTCCTTCCCTTGTAGCTATGTGGATCGTCAGTCAGCACGATTTCTTGCAATGGACCGTTTCCAACTGTTGATCTTTCATCAAGCTGCTAATCACTCGGTGAACCATTGTGATTTAATATGTGACGCAATCTGTTTACTTGCAATGTGGCGATCTAGTCAACTAAACGTTGCTTTTTTTCGGAGGCCTACTTGTCCACCTACCATTACACGTATCCTAGAGCACCTTTTAAAGTCACTCCCGCTGGTAGCACTGTTTTTACCACAGAATAGATTGTTTTCTAACTAGGACAATAAGGCTTTCAAATAAGTCATAGTTGTACGGCAGTGAAGCATTGGTGTTGAACACTGATGTCATGCTGACGATGATGATGATGAACCTAGTAGTGTTTGTTTGGATCGAATTGGGAGGCGAGTTGGCTCAGTGGTTAGGGCTCGGATTTACGGAAGGTCCATGGTTCGAACTTGACCTTCGCCTCTCGACTTCCCTTGTCTAGGCTTGGGCAGCCACTGGCAGTATCCCAATTTTCACGCTTCCTTCTGGTGACATAGCAGTTAGGCACCGAAAGGGTGCTACAGCTGAATGATTTTTCTAACAGCAACCACGACTACTCAGATGTAGTGAGATTGCCTCAAAATTACTCCGTGAGGGTCTCAGATGGTGTTGTGCTCGATTCGCTCTTCCACGCTTTTTTTCAATTTTCGCTGGACTCGATTAATCTACGGTCCCCCAGTAGCACAATCTTATCAAGATGTACTACGAAAAATTGACTAGACGAACAGATCCAGAGTAGGTTCCTTAGTGAGATGGTCATTAATAGGGGGTTGGGTCCAACCACTGACGTCATCTTCAAGCAACCAACTGAAAATACACTCTCAGGAAAAAGATCTCGCTTGAGGTGATGGCAGCTGTATCACCTAAGCATGGTTTGTTGGAAACTCCTTGAAAGCAAGTGCTGTTTTTTTGCATCTCATCAATTGCGGTATCTGCAGACAGACTGACGGTGTCACTCAGTTTGTGATGGACACTTTTTTCCGCTCGTTAATAGACGTTTAGCTGTACCACCCGTTCGGTTCTTAGCTGTCATGCCACTCGAAGGAAGCTCAACGGTTGGGATACTGTCAGGTTGTCCAAGTCTAGACAGGGGCAGTCGAGATCCCAGACTTGGATTTGAACCTTGGACCTTCCGGTCAATAGATATGCTCCCCAGACTCTGAGCTATCTCGAGCTTTGTTGCTTGCTGACACGTATAACTGTTTGCACCTGCCACGCAATTTCAGTGAATCCGGAAGTACATCTTGAGGAAATTCGATGCCGTCAGCCAGTCCTATCCCCGTTTTTCATGTTCCGAAGTTTTCGGTTTGCTCTTTCAATAAACGGAGTAGGTTGTTCTCACTGTTGTAAAGCATTCGGCTGCTGTGGTTACGATCACCTATAAATTTCAGGTGTCTGTGGCTTACACTGATGCCCATCGTAGTTCACAGATTTCCGGATGAGCGTCTTCTTCTGACGAGCATTCGTCTCGATAATTTCACGATGCCCGCTAGGCGCAAAATTAAAACTGGCACACGTGGAAACTGCGCATACAAAACACTGTGATATGGACATGGTTGTATACCGTTGCAAGCGTATTCAAACATGGACCAGTTTCACCTTTGTATCCACGGGCTGATAGGCGAACACGATTAGTTCGATCGGTGAGGGATTAGCGCTCCCCCAAATGAAGTCGTATCAAGCTACTGAGTCCGCGTTCGTGCTCTTTCCAGACAACCTGATTGTGGGGGCGCTAACTCTACTCTTTTTTGTCCTTCATATAATTATTATCATAGGGTTTTTATCTTAATAAGAGGACAGTTATACGAGAGACATGCATCAGTTTCTGCACTGTTGTTGACGATGATGATGTATATCCCCCCATCTCACCATAGAGAGACGGTTAGGAGGCACCGTCAGCTCTCTCTCGCTCCTGCAGATGAAAATCGTGAAAGACGTGATTTCAACGGGAACGAAGGACCCCCGTATACTAACTCACCGAAGATCGCGGGAGGAAAGTGAAATTAGGAAGAAGTGGTTGTCAGCCATCCATGTATAAATTTGAGAGTCAATCCGATTGATTAGTTGTTTAAGGCAAGAAAACTCTAGAATCGTTAGGCGAACAAGCCGAAGGATATCACTAAGAGATCACTAAACAACAAGGGATAAATCAATGCAAACAGATTGTAAAACCAAGCAAAACCAACGAACCAAATGATCTAACAGCTCTGGGAATCTGTCGAAATCCGGAAAACCAGACCACTGCTGAGAAGTCATTTAGCCAAGAAAATCATTCCAGATAGAAGATATCCAAATCACCAACCAATCAATCAAATGTCAACCATGCATGGATGAAATCAAAACGGCCGATCACGTGATTTCCGCCATCCATTTTGTCGTGGCTAGACGAGGTGGCTTATTGCCAGTAGCCACTATAAACCGAATAAGCAACACGTGTATTTATGTGGGTTTTGCGTCACATTTGTGAGTATTTCATAATTGATGAAAATCATAGGGTGCGAAAAAAATAAGGCAAACACCACGTTGAGTACAGATGGTCTTTACTTAAGTGGCTCGATACTGTCTAAGGAGTTTGGACGAGTCAGGACTTGTGCGACTGTCGTCAGCGCCTAAGTTGTGCAGTTCGTTTAACAGGTCACATAATACGTAAAACTCAATACAGTCGGTCAGGACGGAACTCGTACAGTTATCTCTCTCCCTTGAAAGCACGATGCTGCACTGTGACCACAGTTGCCTTTCGTGGAAGAATATTCACGGGGTGGTTGGTCTAAATAGTTGATTCGTTCTTTCGATCAAGCGGTCTATCAAAAATCATGACGGAGCTTTCGGTCGTGCATACCTTTATGCAATTTATCACAGATCTTATGTCACTCCAACACAACCGCAGAGGAGTCCAACAAACTCAACGGCTTATTTGGTGCTCCAGAAACATCAAAAACCATGAAACGAAGCTATTTATTGACTAGAGCACGAGGTACAATAACCAAAATTACAAACGTTCAAATGAATAGAAGAGACAAGAAAACGAAGATGTGAAATTATCTCATCTGATAATTGAAGCAAAACGTTTCGGGGTTCGTTCATGCAGGTAAGGGCGTTGTTGCTCACACATGAATTTTGGATATGAAAGGTTCCCTTGTTCCCGATTACATTCACAGAACCTGGAATGATAGCATTGTTCGTGAGTGAATTCCTCCTCGTCAGGAATACTCGGTGAAAACATGCGATGCGAACACGTGCGTCTTATATCGAAGTCCTCAGAGCCTTCAGCATCGGATTCCAGAATATCACAGCTAAAACGGAAAGTGGTAAATATTTCAGAAGGATGATCGGTGTAACTCAGTAGTCAAGACGGAAACATGCTGAGGGTCCGTGGTTCGAACCCAACTCCAGCATCTTAGCTGATTCTGTCTAAGCTTGGACAGTATGACAGTATCCCAGCCCTCGTGCTTTCCTCAGGTTAGTACAACGTCTAGGCACCGAAATAGTGTCACAAATGAGTATTGCAATATCACAGTATTATACTACTAGGAATCCTGTGTTGTCCATTTCAATTCTTTTCGAAGTAGGGCTTTCTTATTAAAACTGACATGGTTTTCCGGCAGCGCTGGATAATATGACGACCCAGAGAAGATGTGTTCTGTGGGAGGTCTGAAGTATCCTCATGCTAGAAATGGGGAGCTAGACATATACATGCTTGCTGTCTTGCTCATTGCGTACTTACCCAACCCAGTGGCATTCAGTCTAAACACAACATCATTTCGAATGAGTACAATTTATGAGAATAGTAAGAACACAAAACTACAGCAATAATGGGAATAGTGCGCTAAAATTTGACCCCTCTTTCTAGTGAGCTTCTCGCTTGAGCCACTAACCCAGGTTCCGTGGGATGTTTTTGCGAAAAAGTTGTCAAGCATGGTGAAACAGCTTCGGAATCAACTGAATAATCTGAGATATTCTCAGACAGCTTCGTCGTAGAATAATGGAATAACAGAGCAGTAAAAGTTGAAGATTTGTAGAATACCCACAAACCGGTCCCTAATTCAGTTGGTCATAGTCCACTGGCCTATGTGTCTAGAATGTGTTAGTGTTCTCAAACCCAGACAGAAGATTAGGACCGCTGACGAAAGTCTGGTCTGAAATCCTATTGGCTGGTGGGTGGCTCCACAATCTTGTAAGTGGAGAGGGAGAAGAATTTGTGATGATTTTCTAAGTTAACTTCATATGAAGCAAAAAGGATACACCGCACTTCAATCACAAAACTTAGATTCTTCACGCTGCTCATAACTAATGACTGTAATTACCCTCGAGCTCCCAAACGAAAAGTTCATCTAACAAAATCATCAAGCAAAACCCTAGCTTTTACTTGTGATATCATCCTAATAAGGTATTCCTGTCTGGTGGTGGATTTCTCCAATAGGTCGCTGTAACAGACCGGTAACATCAAAATTTGATGATCCTTAGTAGGGATGAACCAGCTGTACAGTGCTAATCGGCGCTTCAGCTTCGTATGGACGAAATGTCACTTGTAAATTGCCAAATCTCCTCACAGTTCGAACGAACGAAGCCTTGTTGAATAGCTTCGCAAAATAAACTTGGGACGGCCTACGCGCCACATTATGCGGAAGAATACGAGTAGGATATGGATTCCAAGTGAATTCATCGAGTCTCCAGTTCTGGCAGCCCGAATTTGAGTTCAAAAGTAAACATTATCAACCCAACCTCGTCTGGTTGCTTTTTTCTCCAACCATGCATTTGGAAAACAGCCCCGCTTCTATCGGTTTGATCCAATGAGGCTTATGAAGCCCACGACCGCAGGCTACTTATATTTTCAGCTGGTGGAGCACAATACTTCAAGACCTGTCTTTGACCCCACCAAGGAAAGTCTTCAATACTATTTGTGACAGTCGACCGATTCCCTGAAGGCTTCTTTTTCGAAGGGTAGGGACAAGCCACTGGTGGTCAAAAAATGGCTTGGCAGCAAAGCGTAAAAGCGATTTTGAGAGAATTCACCTGCACTGGTTGTTGCCGTCTCCCTTGATGGGGACGCCGAGACGGAATACATCGATGGTTAGAGACATTGTCAGACACGGCTCTGTCGCGTCCTCAACGGCGCTCGTGCATCTAAACCATTGCCCGTAATGCATAGTTCCCTTCCCGCTTCCCACACTTAACAGTCCGCTGACAGTGCACCAATTTATCAGCTCCCGCCTCCAATGCGCAGCCACCTACCCCATCTCCCCAAATTATCGGTGAACAAAAATGTGTCACCCATCAACGTACCACAAGTACTCTGTTCTTACAGCTGGTGATGATGATTATATTCGTGACAGGAATATCTTCAACCTCCCTCTCCATCAATGGAATCCCAAAGATACATCTTCTACTCCTGAAGAGGGAACAGTGTAACTTACTCTTCATATAGTCTGGAGTTGCAGCACGATTCATGCCTTCTGGAGGCCCTATCATTTAGAAACATTTTAGAGTCACATGTTCTGTTTCTCCTTCGCTTTTCACATGCCCAGTCAGTAATGTCGTATTTGCTACTACTGCAATGATGTTCTGTATATGGTTCGCCTGCAGGAAAACCACGAGTTCTGGACTCAGCATTTCTATCTGAATGGGCCAGTGATTCGTCATCGTTACTAACATGTCTCGCCATGCCAGGTTGATCCAGTCCCTCGTAAAATGGCCCTCCAGTGCGTCGTCCATAATACCCTGATTGGGTCAGAAAATCCAAGTTCCAAGGACGGAGACCAGTATTATTTGGATGCCGTCCAAAATATCGCGATGACGAAATGACTGTACTATCAAAGGCCCCGTAGCTCCTTCCGGAATTCCTGGGTAACAGCGGATCCGGGTGAGGAGGCGCGTGTCGAGAAGTACGTATTTGTCTCATTTGCGTACGTATGGGTGTTCGAAGTGAGTAGTACCGGTTTAATTTATTCTCCTCTGATAGGCGTGTCTGGTACATCTGACTCCTTTTGTCGGAAAACTTTGGGAGTGCGTTCAGCGAGTATCCATGAAGTGTGGAACTCTGACGATGAGTGGCGTTTCGTACCGGATTCGGACAAGTATCGCTGTTCAGCCATGGACTGTCTATGTCCAAGGGGCGCATGGAGGGGAAAGACTGAGCATTCTGTGTTTCAACAGTTAGAACGTCACATTGTTGACAATGATTTTCCATATTCAGTGTGGATGCTGAGCGCTTTATTCGTCCGCATTGAGAACAAGACCGGTAAATCGGTTCAGTCATTGGATTGTCGGAGTTTGTCGATTCTCCATAAGGTACGTTCATTCGTGTTGAGGACTTTGGGGGATGTGGTTCCGGTTCTTCCATTCCTGAATTCCGTTCAACTCCACTTCCACTTCCGGACAGCAATAGTCTCGGTAATACGCTACCGAAGCTGTGAAGTTTTTCGAACGGAAATCGATCGATCAAACATCGGATCACGTGGCACTGCACCCAAGAATATGCACGAATGTATGTGAACGTTTGGAAAACTTCATCTGCAGTCGAAAAGAAGGTCCCCGAAAATATCAGTACGGCAGAAAACAACTATTGCGGAGGCGATTCTTCCAGATATAATTGACTCACGTTCGCCCCCTTCTTTGAAGCTTCTGTCTCGATTTCTAAACTGTTTGAACCTCAGTTAACATAAGCTTTTAACATTTCACATGGCATCGTGATAGTTTGCTTTCTTCGGTTGGTTTGTGAGAAAACGCACACCGTTGTATATAGTTGTTAAAGCTGTGAGGCCCAATAGGGTTTCTCTTGGAACAGAAACAGGCTGATAGATCACAGCAAAAGCGTCCGGAAGTTCAGATTCTCGAAATTGACCACCAGAACGTCTGAAACGTATTTGTAACCGCTTATTGCATCAAAATCTCTTCAGGACCTCTAAAAGACAGAAAAACCTATCATCGATTGAACGTTCAGTTGGCCAATTACTGAAGGTAGGCAATACTCAGGCATGCAAATGAAACTACACCAATCGGTCACTCAAAAGGGACGTCAAAGCCGTGAATAAATGTTAGCTCCTTCCGGAATTCCTGGGTAACAGCGGATCCGGGTGAGGAGGCGCGTGTCGAGAAGTACGTATTTGTCTCATTTGCGTACGTATGGGTGTTCGAAGTGAGTAGTACCGGTTTAATTTATTCTCCTCTGATAGGCGTGTCTGGTACATCTGACTCCTTTTGTCGGAAAACTTTGGGAGTGCGTTCAGCGAGTATCCATGAAGTGTGGAACTCTGACGATGAGTGGCGTTTCGTACCGGATTCGGACAAGTATCGCTGTTCAGCCATGGACTGTCTATGTCCAAGGGGCGCATGGAGGGGAAAGACTGAGCATTCTGTGTTTCAACAGTTAGAACGTCACATTGTTGACAATGATTTTCCATATTCAGTGTGGATGCTGAGCGCTTTATTCGTCCGCATTGAGAACAAGACCGGTAAATAGGTTCAGTCATTGGATTGTCAGAGTTTGTCGATTCTCCATAAGGTACGTTCATTCGTGTTGAGGACTTTGGGGGATGTGGTTCCGGTTCTTCCATTCCTGAATTCCGTTCAACTCCACTTCCACTTCCGGACAGCAATAGTCTCGGTAATACGCTACCGAAGCTGTGAAGTTTTTCGAACGGAAATCGATCGATCAAACATCGGATCACGTGGCACTGCACCCAAGAATATGCACGAATGTATGTGAACGTTTGGAAAACTTCATCTGCAGTCGAAAAGAAGGTCCCCGAAAATATCAGTACGGCAGAAAACAACTATTGCGGAGGCGATTCTTCCAGATATAATTGACTCACGTTCGCCCCCTTCTTTGAAGCTTCTGTCTCGATTTCTAAACTGTTTGAACCTCAGTTAACATAAGCTTTTAACATTTCACATGGCATCGTGATAGTTTGCTTTCTTCGGTTGGTTTGTGAGAAAACGCACACCGTTGTATATAGTTGTTAAAGCTGTGAGCCCAATAGGGTTTCTCTTGGAACAGAAACAGGCTGATAGATCACAGCAAAAGCGTCCGGAAGTTCAGATTCTCGAAATTGACCACCAGAACGTCTGAAACGTATTTGTAACCGCTTATTGCATCAAAATCTCTTCAGGACCTCTAAAAGACAGAAAAACCTATCATCGATTGAACGTTCAGTTGGCCAATTACTGAAGGTAGGCAATACTCAGGCATGCAAATGAAACTACACCAATCGGTCACTCAAAAGGGACGTCAAAGCCGTCAATAAATGTCACATGTGCACTCTTAATACGGCGATGTTCCCTGGAATTTGGAACTCGTCGGTTCGCAATGCAGCCGTCGTATTTTTGTTGGGGTGTAGTTAGTTACAACGGAAATTTCCATGAATTCTCAATGTGTCCAAACATTTGTGGCTTGGTTGTGCTAGATTTTTGTTGACCAGATACGTGTTGATCTGTTTGCCATGACATACACAACTAACGATATCCTCATGCCACATCGGCCGTCGCGTGGTACCATCAGTCGGGTCGTCTAACTTGCTGCATACAGCAGGGCGGGTAAGCGAAAACATGCTACTGCTGGCGCCTCCCTTCTTACACTTTCACGTTTTCCGTCTTCCACCCTCCCCCACCCAAATTTGAATACTTTATCCGCAGGTTCCAGCCCTAGGACTGACCGTTTTGCTCGCCCTACATCACACTCAGCTGCAGCTTCTGCACGTCCGAGTTCACTTAAAACCCTAAACACTTCGAAGTCTGTTTTCAAACCCCGAAAGCCTGTCTACTTAGCCACTTTCAATGTTCGCACACTGAAGCAAGCAGGTCAACAGGTGGCTCTTGCGCGTACGCTGGATTCCCTTTGTATTGATGTATGTTGTCTGTCAGAAACAAGGACGCAGGACGCAAGTACTGTAATCGAACTGACTGCCCCCTCGCTCTCTTCCAGGTTCCGACTGCGCACCTCTGGTGATGCAGAGGCCGCTGCAGCTGGATATGCTGGGGTGGGTATTGTATTGAGCGAACGAGCGGAAGCGTCTCTGCTTGATTGGATACCCGTAGACAGTCGCCTCTGTGCGGTTCGTTTGGCAACATCGGTGAGAGAATCTAGAGGAAGTGAGGTTCATCGCACCTTGTTTATTGTTTCTGCTTACGCCCCAACTGACTGTAGCTCTGAATCTGCCAAGGACAGTTTCTATGACGCTCTAGGTGCCCTTCTACAACAGGCTAAAAGCTCAGATATCGTTGTGGTTGCTGGTGATATGAACGCCCAGGTAGGTAGACTAAGCGCTGCTGAGGCCCGATTGGGTGGTCGTCTTGGTTTGGACACTAGACGCACGGACAACGGAGACCGCTTACTTCAGATGTGTGCCGATCACAGGCTGTTCCTTTGCAGTACGAATTTCCGGAACAGCGGAAATCGCTTGACAACGTGGTGCCCACCATCAAACCAGCGCCGAATCCAAATAGACCACATCGCCGTCAGTTATCGGTGGCGCCTGCCGCTCCTTCTGGAACACCAGCGTAAACTCCGACCATGCACTTGTACGCTGCTATTTTTCATTGTGCTTTTCAGGTGTACGCAAATCGCGCACACCTCGCTTAGCCATTGAGAAGCTAGTTGACCCAGAAACCAAACGAAACTATCAGAACCAGCTCCTCGAATGCCTGCCGGACGGTACGGTGTCAGATATAAACAGCCACTGGGAAAAATTACCCAACGCGTTACTCAAAGCAGGAGCGTCTGCTTGCGGTACAACCCAGCCAACCTCATCCAGGTATTGTATCTCTGATAGGACCGTGTCTTTTCTGGAGACCCGGCGACAGATTCCACCTGGTCTCCACCACAACTTCATGCGCATTATCCGACGCCAGGTGAAACTGAGTGTCTGCGCAGACCGAAGGGTCGAAGAAATGCAACATACAAAGAATGCTCGACCGGGTAGAGGCTGCGTTGACCACATCTTCACACTCCGTCCGGTGTTAGAGCAACGCCACGTGTACAGACGACCCAAAATCCTGGTATTCCTTGACTTCAAGGGTGCGTTCGATTCTGTTGATCGATCAGTTCTGTCAACTACACTTGCTCAACATGGTATGCCCCAGAAGTTTGTAAACATAATCCGATCTCTATATTCACATACTTCTGGGCGGGTGAGGGTGTATGGTGAGCTCTCCAAAAGCTTTCCTACAAAAAGTGGTGTCAGACAAAGATGTCCACTCTCCCCATTCTTGTTCAACTTCGTCATCGATGAAATAATGAGGCGAAACTCCGGCGTTCACATTGTTGGCTCGTGAAAGACCCTCTGTAAGTTTATTGAAGATAGTACAGCGGTTCCCGTCTTTGTCGTTGTAGTCGAGCTGTTGTTCTGCAAGATCCTATGGGCTATACTGCCTGAAAGTCGATTCCTAAGGGTTCAGCCATGCCAGGAAGGCTAACAGGGAGCAGCCCGACAAAGAACTGCGATTAGTCGTACTACGAGGTGGTCTGAAGGTAAATTCGTACCGTCCTCTGTGAAAGGTGTGTCCTGCACAAGCTACTGCAGAGATAGATAGTAGTACTACACCTCGACTTAGGTTGTTCTCTTCTTGAAGAGATCGTACAAGAAATCATGAGAAAAATGGGATTCTATTGTTGAGGCGTATCACCCCTGCTTAGAAGGATCCCCGTTGATGGAATGAGGGTCTAACTGCCGGGAGTGATATCGTCTCTCAAATTAAGCTGATGACCTGGCGTATCACACAACCTCGGCTACCAAGCGCTGCGCTGTTCTTCTTGGTTATCCTCTCAAAATTCCCACATTTTCCGAGATTATGACAATCGTATGATATTTCTTGGCGCTTTCTTTATGCACAATTTGTGCTCACCGATTCTGGGGCTGTTTGACTCTTCCGGTGACCTTATACGTCCCTGTTTTGCTTGAGATGCCTGCGGTGGCTACACAATCCTTTTTATGGCTACCATTCACCCCAGATTACCCTTGATTGAACGCACGGGAAACCCCCTTTCTCGATTTCCCACTTTCCAAATCAATCCATACTGCTGATTGACCTACCCATCTTGCATAATGTGTTCTTATCCGACGAAATGTTGCTACAACCATATAAGAGTAGACTGTCCTCCGGTAGGCTGATGAGTAGTTAAAGAGGTCAATATTCTTCGTTGCTCCCCGGTATACAGTAGTTTCAACAGTAGTCTAGGTGCGAGTTTGTCACAATTATGATCAGCAGCTGGTGACCTAGTGCTCACATTTTTAAACTAATAGCGCGTTCCAAATTCCCTAAGCGAGTTTCATGAGGTACGGTCTGCCAATGCTTCCCAATAAGGATAAAATAACTGTATCTTGATCCTCCGATTTTCAGTTCCGCATAGATTGGTTCCACTCGCAGGACGAAATATTCCCTAAAATTTCTGGAGGAAAAAATCACCAGACTACCGCCAGTTTAGAAGGTATTGCGTTATTTCAGTTGATTTACGTTCGTCTTTGTCATGGTGAAGTAGACTTAAGGGTACTGACCTTGCTCCAAAAACCCATTGAACCAGGTGCATTCTAGTCTTTGCATTCTTCCACGTTCAACTGCAACGGGTTAGTGACACAGCCAATGAAGGACAATGAAGGGAAGCCAGGGAGTCTTCTTATGCGGTTCTATCCGAGTTATGTGTAGCACTGATTCCATCTGGCTGAGAAGATAAAAATTTATCTGCACTGCATTGCACAATGCCGCATCACTATCCTTCCATGACCAGTGAGTTTAAAGTACACTCGCAGGGGGGATTTATGGGGATAAAGACATTGGCACCAACTTCTGATTTGTATTCTCCAGATGGTCGTACCAGCATCACTGACATCTTATTTTGGTTAGCAGGTCTCATGGCTAGGGACAGATAATTGACCGTCTCTGTGATCCTAATAACTTTGTCAAATAGGCTGAAACATTCAATCACTTCAACTCAATGGGAATTCAATCAAGTCAGAAATAGTCTCATGCACGACGCGAAGCAGGTATACAAAGCAGTTCCAGGGAATTCCAACAAACTAGAGGACGGCACCTTCCAAACCGTGTCATGCCATACCATTCCAAGGATCAAAGAATTCCGAAAGTTCCCGTAGTTGAAAGTTCTCATTTTGACCACGTGTTACGGGTGGATAAAGCCACCTCAAGCAAACCCGCTCATTCCGGTTTCTAATTCCATTTGAGCGTCTCAGCTTCAATATCGATATACGTAGCACCAGTAGAAGTACAAGTGTAAACATAATCGACGACGGGGGGTTGTTGACGCGGAAAGTACCATTCCTCGTAAAATTTCCGTTCTGCAGTAATCAAGACTTGGTTAGCAGAACGTTCACGTGAAAGTTTGATGGAGCATTGCTTGTTGTGTCTGCTGGCGAAGTGTTTTGGCTGACATTGCAAAGATATCTACATAATCCAGGGACGGTGGACAACTAGTTTTGGTTTCTTTATGGAGATGAAATCTAATGGAATAGGATACCTAGTGTAGAACGCGGTTATTGAACTAGCACGTTCGAACGGTTTTAAGAAAGCAGACGTGCGGGAAAATGGTCGGTGATTCGAGGTTTCCTCTTAAGATTCGGAATTATCTCGAGTCTTCTTTGATAGCCAGGTGTCGTTCCGCTTCTGAAACGCGGTAACGTAAGATTGGTGCATCGAAGATAATACACGATTGCGACTACGAGTATTTTTTCCCTTTCGGGTTCAAGTAAATCTTTCTGAAATTCATTTGCTTAAACGTGTAACTGGCATTAGTCTCGCCTTTCTGCGTTACGGGAGCGTTCGATGAATTTTTACAGATCAGTGAGTTACCGGTTAAGCTTGTCCACCTTCGTACCGCTTTTGTAAGATTTGCGCCGAGTACAGCAACTTCTGAAACACCTCCGACAAACCACGGCAAACCTTTTGCCACGAGTTGGCAAGTGCCTCAATTCCGGGCTTCATTTATTTTTAACTGTGATATTACTCTGAGCGTTGGCCAAAGCAAGCTTGAAGATCGGGAGAGCTATTTCCAAATACAGGGTTGCGGGTTGTTTAGCAGAAGTTTAACGCCCTAATTGATCGATTATACACGGCAGATTTAGCGGGGTTCCAGGTGAGTCTCTTCAAAACCACAGTGGTATACAAATGTGTGCATTAGTCAAAATCTGCTCAATTTAGATTCAAGCATATTCTAAGGTTGACGAGAACTCGGGGACTGAGTCTACCTGATTAGCTCCAAGAAGGACGAAACTGTTCGTGAGCTGTCGAAGACCGTTGTATCAACTGTAAGGGTAACTTTGAAACTGTCCCGCGCATTTTTCGACACCCACTCTACTTTTCAGGATACTGGTTGCACAAGCTGAGAGATCACTCCATAGTTCTTCACAGCGTCCTGCAGGAAGCCATCTGAAGAAGGGTCTACTTACGTAATTTTGAGGCCCGTCATCACATCGTCAGTCGAAATCTCGAAAGCATATGCTAAATTTGAACCCTTTAGTGGGAATTGATGTAGAATTCTGTGGTTGGCGAATAGACTCCATTCTGAAGACATGATGAAACGCACCGGGTGGGCACCATCCTTACTAGAGACTGCATTTGCCGGATCTTCGTTCTTGATGTACTTTTCATATAACGACGCGGAAACAACTAGCTCTGTGGTATTATCCCCGTGCGGTTGTTTCTTTCGAACTGCTCACCCTTTCAATAACGTGTACATTATGGACGGCAAGCATTCCACATATACCCAGAATGAAGTAAACAGCGGTCTGCTAATGCTGTTGTTCTATAAACTCGGCACAAAAACGGTGTGACAAGGATCAGGCTTGACGGAGCTGAAACATGCACACGATTCAGTCCGAATACGTGAAGTTAGTAAGGCTGCTTAACACTGGTCGACTGCTACCTGCGGGGTCAGGCCAACATGTCGTGCCACGCTGTCTGCTCATTGTACGTGCTCGTTTACACGAATTCACAGCCTGCTTTCAGTGGTAATCCTTCTAGATCGCTTATTCAAGTCCATCAGGCTCCAACCATGCATCTACAACTGCAAGCGTCAATGGAGTGGTCACACAAACGGGCATCGTGATTGTACTGCATCCGTCATGTCCAGATGGATATATTTCAGAATTCTGGAAGGTATGGTTATGTTCTCAGTCGCTTGTGCACCTAAAACTCGCACATGTTCGACACAACATGAAACGAACTTCCACAAGCTGCCTGGTGCGCATGATAACCCTGGTGAACCAAATGTTTTTCGAATACCACGGGTTGCCGCAACCGGTTTGAGGTACTAAACTATTCCCAATTCGGTGAAACTTTTGAATACCGTTGGTATACTGTGCACTTCACTTCCAGTCACGCCCATCTCTAGTCAGAAGGTTCGGCCTTGGGATTTCATTGATTCTACGTCCCAAACGATTGTTTCCACACTACTACTTATGTTACAGTAGGCGAACGAAACCGTCTAGTGCCGGACACAATAGCGTCTACTCCAGAATGTTCTTATTTCGATAACCACAACAGCGGTATTTAGTGCAAGCTCGATGGAAATTGCCCCGGCATAAAGTATATGTAATATAAGAATGACGCACTTGAATAGTCATTTCTAGTCAGTACCTGGTCAGGCTACTGGAGCGATCATGAGATATTTTCTGGACCAGCATCTATGTTAAGCAATGTGCCCCGATCTAGTTATGCATTAATTTTACCTGCGTAACTCTCCGAGCAACCGATGCATTTCATTTCGCATACAAAGCCGTAGTCCTATTAACATGCGGAACATGCTTCATTTGCACGTTTTGAATACTACCCTGATTTTTGACGTTATTCAACGACCTTCTAATGAATTTATACATTCGTATTTTGTGAGAAGACTGCGGTTTCTGAGCACTCCTGATGGGAGCTACTATCCACCTAGGTACCACTCGATTCAGCCAATGGTGTATCCCTTTTCTCGATGCCTCATTCTCCAATTACGTTTATGCAGCTGATCGGTCAACAACTTTTCTGCTCGACGTTCTTAGTTGACCGGGGAATGCTGAAACAATATCATTTTGTACTACTTCCTGATAGGCTGGTGAGTAGTCAGTAGCTGCTGCTTCCTGGTAAAAGTAGTTTGGATAGTGGTCTGGTGAGTAAGTAGTCAGTGCTGCTGCTTCCTGGTAAAAGTAGTTTGGATAGTGGTCTATGTGTGAGTGATTCACAGTGTGATCGAGCGCTCGAATTTCCACTACTAGCAAAACGTTTGTTGGTAGAAACTCCATACGGAAGTTTCGTGAAATGCCCAGACCTAATGATTTTCATTAAGGATGACAGTTGTACAGTGCTTTTCATCTCCGCATAGATTGGCTTCACTTACACGGCGAATCTCCGCCAAAATTCCGAAAAAAATCCCCTCAAACCACCACCGATTCGGAACAGCGCTGTGCTATTTCAGTTGACTTACGTTCGGTTTCATTATGGTAAAGTGAAACTATGGATACCGAACACTCTCCAAAAGCCCCTTGAAACAAGGTATTATTCTTGAGTTTAACCATTATTCACGTTGCTGAATCGCCCCATTCTGAGTGCAATTTATATCCGCTTAACTAAGCCAGCCAGTTTTTGTCAAACACCCCATGCGAAGTTAAACTTAATGGGTTTCACTTGATATTTTCAGCGTTATGTATCCAGCCGATTCTCACCAGAAAGATGTCAGAGAGGACGACAAGGAGTCGTTTGAATATCCATATCCGACCGTCGAGGAGAAAACTGCATTCTAGAGTACACTTCTTTGGCAGGGGCCCACTTCATTAGATTGTGTTGGGATAATAAAGGAAATCGAACAGAGACGACTGCCGTTTCCACGAGCTCTTACACGCTCACTTACCCTTCAGGTATGAAACTTGTTTTAAGCAGACCCAGGAAATAGTGTAAACGAACATTATTTCCCATGTTTCCAACATTTGCAATTTTTTCAATGTCAGAGCATATCCCTACCAGATAAAAAATACTTTGGTCTCCGGGTCACGACTAAATCTATCTAGCTGCTACAGCAATTCATCCTTCGGCCTAAACCGCCGTCAAGCATGCAGGCACACGATGCCAGCGAATCAGGAAGTGTCATTTCCACATGCTGAAGATCCATATGACCGAGTGCTTCACAACGTACCCCCTGTATTCTCGTCTACGAGGAACAGAAAACGTAGAGGTTTGCTTCCCTTTATCCAGAGATGGACAAAAATGTACTGGACAGGATGAGACTTTCAAGTTAGAGTCATACTACCCACGCCTCCTACTGAAAAAATGCACACTGATGCTAGCCACTACCCCATTACAGTTTGTGGCTGCTGATCACAAAACTGTGTGCAAGTTGCATAACACAAACAAAGAGGTGCGCAACAGCCTCGTTTTCAGTACGTGACACGTTCATAAAGTGCCGAATAAAATGCGGTTAATCACTTTGCGTAAAAGTTAACCAGATGGTTGACTGAAGGACATGCGTTCACATAAACTATGCATAGCGCAATGTGACCGCCAGACAAGTTCAAACGCAGAATGGTAACCTGTAGCAAGTAATCGCTGGAGCCTCAATGAAATCCAGGCCTAATGACCGAATGCACCTCACTGAGACAGGAAACTCTGAGTTCATAACGACGGAAAGGCTACCTTCCAGACCGTATAAGGTCAATCTGTGGTGTCGCGGAGCGAACACTTGTCTGTCTTGGGCAACCGGATACAAATGTGCTCTCGAGCCCTGACGCCAAGTGGTGTTTATGTTGGGTGCCTGCGGGATCTGTAGAATTAGTATTCAATTCACTCTCGTTCGACCAACCCTTTTGTAGCAATTGTTCTGGTGCGTCTAAAAGTGAAGCGGTACTGTACTCACGTGCACACATGTATCATCAGTTGACCCCCTGTTTATCTAGGCTGATTTGCCTTGAGTGCACAACCCAGACAAAATACAGCAGTCGTTCAGCTCTAACACCCTTTAAGTTCCTAACTGCTACGCTACCCGAAGAAAGCACGAAGTCTGAAATATTATCAGGCTGCCTAAGCCATAACAGAAGCAGCTGAGATGGAAAGGTTGGCTTTGAACCATGGATCTTCTGGTCACTACGTTAACAACTGAGCTATCTCGAATGGGCGACTAAAGCAAACATCATCTGTGTCGCTGTCTTCAGCTCTATCAGCTCCGTTCCCACTGACTCACACCTACGTACCTACTGTCTTCCTGCCCTTCTTGATACTTTAATTACATCGACTGCTTTGATTCCCTCACACCTGTAGCAGATCACGGCCATCTTCCATTGTGGTCTTTCTTAGGCCAATTGACCGTTAATCTGTCGAACAGAATAGTTCATCCATGTATAGGCATGCCTGGCTACGTGACACAAAGGAGAGCGCCGACCTCTGACAGGACACTTCAGCTCAACCGCGAAACTCTCCAAAGTTTCTGCCTGAGTGGAACCACGTCGCATCGATTCTCAGGGAATCGCGGTGGATAACGCCGAAGGTTGGTTGATTGCCTTGCAATGACCCACGATATGGGCGGAGAACGGAACCCAGACGGAATGACGAGTTGGACCTGCATTGTACGCAGTTATTACCCAATTTAAGCGCACAAGCTGCTGTCTCGCGGCGAAAAGTAGAGAAAAGTCTTCAACGAAGTAAAGTACATAGTCAAATGGCAGCTCAATTACCCACGAGAACATTCAGGCCGTCTCTGTTTGTGTACTAGTGGTTGATGGATTATATCCATTTGTGGGTGCCTGATGACCAGGCCCCGAAAGTAACACCGTAGGTTTAATATCGCCTTTGAATACCATTCAGAGAGAAGCACGAACCTATAGCAGCATAGGTGAAAAGCCTTTGAAATGAAATCTATTGAGAGAATGTAAGTCAACCGCATTGCCTAGATGGTCGAGACAAATAAAAAACTTCGGAAGACAAAACTAGGTAGTGGTTCGGAAACCAACGGTCTTCTGTTGTATTTCCATTCATACTACGAACGGCCGACATCCGAACCGTACCTACCCGCCAACAGACGCTTGTGCATACCAAGGAGCTGCACTCAAGCCCTTGGGCGCCGTCGCAAACCCGAGGAAGCAACAAAGCCTGTCGCAAGCAATCAGACGGCCTTACCTTGATGGCATAACGCTAAACACAGGCACCCGTTTATCAACGAGGTAAGACCACCACCGCCAAATCACCAATGTTTTAGCGTAATATCACAACTTTCGCAGTATGGCGTCATGAAAGTGTTATTCCGAGCTGCCGAATGACACACCGTCAAGGTTGTAATGGATGGCCTGCTGGTACAGTATCATCTGAGGAGAATGATGTTGTCTTCCTCAGGATGGCAATGTCGAGCGGGCAGTCATCATCCAAACGATGTGATTTATATTTTCAATCTTGAGATCATACTTTCTGAACTGTAAAAAAGTAGCCATCAGAATGAAGAGTTTCTGCATAGGATCTGATCGTCGTGAGGCATATATTACTCATAAATAGTGCATCATATGGCTCTTAAAGGACGGGTAATGTGTCCAACTGGCCCAATATGTAGAGATAGATAGAGATACAAAGGCGGGTCGATACGAGAAGAATGAGGTCCACCGGATCCCAACTTCAAATGTGGGCGTAGCGGCCAGGCGAACCAATTTAGTTCGTTTTCTTCGGAACGAACACAAAGTCACCGAGATAACGTTCTTCCACATTGGAATGATTGTTGCCACCACGATCATCCTAAATACAAAAGGAGCAGTATGAGTGATAGGAGAGAAAAAGGGAGATACAATATGAAATTCGGTTAAAATAAGGACAGATTGACCTCGATGAATAGCTAACACCAATGTTAAACTCCATTTAAAAGCAGATTGAAAAAACATACAGTACCTATTGGAAAATTCCGACCCACAAGACTGAAATGTTCTCCGATGAAAAAAGGAAAAGCGCAAAAAGTAATTTTTCTACGAGGAGGGTCGCAAGAAGGACGAGGTAGTGCAGTATTAGGAGTAAAGGGTTTGGGGGTAGGGGGTAAGGTGACAGATTCAAGGCTGACTTTACCTGCATAAGCGTACAGAGGACTCAGTACCTTACCCCGTACGCGACAAACATAAAATTTTTCATGGATTTCACTTGTGAGGTGGCAGTTTGGAACATCAGAACAATAATATCATTATTGTGGAGAAACTGACACATGAGCCACGGACTGCGGACACGAGCAGTTGCCTACAAAATGTTGCTTCTATAGCAAGTCTCAAAGTTGGATATCTGAGTCTGAACGCCATCCACAGAAGATCACGAAATGGAATAGAAACCTGAAGGACCGCTTGCAGCGGCGATAGTCATTCAAAACTAACCACATGACCACACCGCCTGCTAATGACAGCAACATAGCTGGGTGCCACGTGATCACCTCTAGATGATCAATAAAAGGGTTGAAAAGTTATCGACGAAATAGCTTACTAACACAGAAGGGAGAAGAGGCATTGGACATGGATGAATCGACATTTTGCACTCAACACTGTCTAACATGTATAAAAGCAGGCTGTGTGGAAGCCACGGAGCAGTGCACGGTCGCGCGGTGCCCCAACGAATGTGGTGCTCAAATGCATCGATGTAAAATGGACGAACATGTCGAACTAATTTGTCCAAGAACCAAGACTTTCTGCATAAACAGGACAAATGGGTGTCAGGCTAGGATGGAACGACAGAAATTGTCTCAGCACCTGATCGTCTGTCCAGCTAGTGTAATCTATTGCGCTATCAGGTGTTGCATACGACCGAAAGATTATGGTGTGCGGGAAGAAACAACTCATATACATGTCGGAAGCAAACGCAATGTGAGCCCCTTTGTCCCACCGTTTTCACCGGCACCTCAAATTTCCTGCAATGTGGATGGAGATCATCGATCGGAATATTTAAAGGAGCCTCAAGAAAGAGAAAAGGAACTGGAGGCATTCAAAGAAGCTCCATTGACAGATAAACTAGCAACTTTACAGTTTGTAGATAGGTGTTCTTCCGTTCTGGACACAGATGGACCGACTCAGTATAGGTGTGGTAAGGTGGTACCCAGATCGAACTATCAGTCTCACCAACAGTTTCATCACGATGTCCTAACACAACTGGATATAATGATAGAACAAAAGTGCCCGTTGTATGCTTATGGTTGTCCATTTATCGTCAACAGACTCAGACCAAACCACCATATAGGAAGACTTTCATACAGTCCGACACTGAATCGTTTTGTCATCGGACAGTATGACTTCGTGAAGACACCCATTACCATTGACAAAGCTTTTGAAAAGGAATCGTCAGCGAACAAATCGAATGGGTGGCCCAGATCTGGGTTTCCAGATAACCTACCAATAGAACTAGTGGATTATTTGACGCGATTCCTAGACGACATGACGTTGGTGTGCTTGAATCAAGTTTCGTGTCGGTTAAACGAAATCACACGAAGCGCAATAGCCAACCGACTGATTGTAACTCCGAAATGGCATCGGGTTATTTACAGACCAAGTGGTACGGCAAGCTGGAGGGTCAAGAAACTGAAGTGGGCGCTTCCAGAACGAACACCATCTGTGACGCGCTGGTGTTACGGGCAGGCCAGCGCTGAGATGGCTAGACACCTGGACCACTGTCCGTACAATATTCGAGCACAACATAGTAACAGATTCGTGGTACAAGCTGGTGAACATCCAAAAGTTCAGCCTTTGCAATAAATATCACTCGTTACCATTGATCTCATGTGGTCGTGTGTGGATTATCAGGGTTACTCGGGAACGGTGCGATTTCAAAACTGATGGAAGCGAAAATACTGAAGGATGGGAGGGGCCAGGTTGACAGTGTCGAAATCTACCTGATTTAGCGAATTCATCTGAGATAAATAAGTGACATGTAATCGTTTTACCGCTATTGTAGTTGACAGATGGGAAGTAAAACGGAAGATGGAATTGGAAAGTTACAGAGAAACTCATTGTCCAAAGGAAACAGGTAAGCACTTTGGTCAAAATAAAAGCAGTGTTCAACACTGCTTTTTTAAACACCTAAGTATAAAGAAAAGAACGGAAGTGGACTAGAACGAGGTGCCTAAGCCTTTAGACCACGTGAGATGGGTTTGGGGTCCACGTCATAAAACCAGTCGCATTCCCAACAAATGTCGATCCTGATGGGGACCTGGCACGGGATAAATATTGGCCTCCCGAGTCATCGGTTAACGAAACCCCCACTGCCGAAACCAGTCCCACTTGTTCATGAACCAGACTATCAGCAACTAAGCGGAGGACCTTCAGAGCTCCAAGCCATGCAAACCAAATGGCTGCCTTGGAAAATTATGTTCCATGCTACACCACTCATGAGTAGCCAGGTAATGCCACATTAGCACAAGACAATCGCAGCTGGGAAACCCGAAGGTCAGGAGATTGTCACGTCATTTTCGGTAGGCAATCAACTGATTGCCTTTCCTGTCTCATTTTATTCATTAGGTTGGGTCGACAAAAATTTAGGTCGGTTGATTTTACTGACCGTGCTTGTTCGCTGAATTTTCCGTGACCCAAACTGGTAATGGAAATAAGACAGGGATTTGGATCGGCTGTCCACCTACTAAATTCTCCATGGTAGCAACTGTTTTATCATTGGTAACACATGAGACATGCCTCAAAGCAGGTAAGGAAGTGAAGCCTAAGTCACACGAGTAATTAAAGCAATCAATTATTTTTCGCGAGAAATTGACGATCTCCCAAAGTCTTTCCAATCAATCAAATCAATCAATCTGGGCAATCAAATTGCCCAGCTCAGCGAACAAGCCAACGACCACCAAAGCCTTTCCTCCTGAAGAGTTGAATACAACGGTCACACTCTTCCTTAGGGTCGGTTTTGTGTCCTCCCATATGAATGAGCCTTAAAAGTGACATTCAGTGCAGTCAGCTGTGAAATAAACGAATTTTCTTCTCGAGTGACCAGATACAAACAGCCGCGATGTCAGTGTGCGGAATTTTGAGTTGTCCATTGTGGCGCTCATGCAAAACCTCAGATATTTCCTTATACCAACGGTTACAAAGAGCAATCAATGTGATCACTGTTGAATCAGTAGATACTGTCTCTTTGGTTTTCGGCTGAAACTTGTGCTTGCAGGTTGAATACACGGATATGGGCGCCATCCAATAAATGAATGGTATCATTTGGGGTACAGTCACGGTTGTGTATCAAGAAGTCTGAATTCGACTCTAACCAAGGTCTAACCAGTTTACAGTATACATGCTGTCGTTCCAGGTATATAGGCTTGATCAGCAAAATATCAATCCAGTATATAGTGGCTTATCATCATACCTACTGGACACTGAGTTTCAGGATGAGGAAACCGCCCCAGCACGGAGCTTTCAACTCTGGAGTTACATACGACTCCCACATCGTCTTGGGTTCGAATCCCCAGACGGTCAGCGGTATGCACCACTAGTGAGCTCTATTAAAGGTGAAGCTCTAGTCCCCCAGGTTTGAAATTCACTAGAATGGTTTCTCCGAGAAAGAAAGGAGACTATACAAATGACAGTGGAGTTAATACAGATTCTACAATTCCCACAGTCAGCTACAAATAAACTCTGCTTTAACACGCGAATATGAAATAGACGAGAGAAATGTCAGACTGCCATTTTGTTGATTTGTATCAGGTTCCAAAAATGTTCACATCAACAACGTCGATAAAAGTGAGTTATTGGGTGCACTAATTAACTGGCGTAGAACAAATTACTTTGCAGGGATGTGAAAGTCTCCTACGACAATTGTTTATGGTACGACTGCAGTCGAGTGGTGCGTAGATAAGCACCTAAAAAAATGTGTTCGCACCCCCCATCTATGAGCCATTTATTAGTGTCCTCGGGGGTAGTTCATACACAAAGGCGGTGGCTGCAAACGGGAACATCACGTGATATTGGGTTTTCGAACCCTCATACATACACTTACCTCAATCTCACTGTTTAACTCTTCCACCTGGTCATCATCCGTGTCATACTCGTCTGACATGATTGCACTGGCGAAACGCGATTGCTTTCCCAAGGAGCCAATTGGAGGTGACTCCGGTGGGTCGGGGCCTTCGACCTGCTGACCATCCAGTATTCCTGCGAACAACTTGTCAATGTCCTCGTCACTCATTTTTGGTACTTGAATGAAAAAAGACGTCTATGGGCTAAGAACAATAGCATCATCATCATCAAGGACAGCAACATCAGTGTTGCCACTGATGCTTCACTACCGTACAACCATAAGGTTTGTCTAGTTATATATATAATTGTATTAAAAGCCCCACAGAGAAGAGAAGAGAAAAAGAGTGGGTGAGGGAGGGGACCTGGTGCTGGACTAAGTCAAGCATACTGAGGTGCCTACACCTCCAACCGCTCAATCAGACAATCTGGAAAGAAACTGACAGCAAGAACGACCAATAGCCCAATTGTCTGAAGTCATCAAAGACCATAGGTAGTTTAGCAGCCGGTGTCTCAGTCGTCTCATGGAATCAACAACAGCTCGAGATAACTATCTTACCGATCCCGAACTCTGTGGTTCGAACACAACCTCAGGATCTCAACTATTTCTGCCCATGCTTCGGCAAACTGACAGTATCTCAGCCCGCGTGCACCGTACGAGCTGCAGCACGGCAGCTATGCAACGAAAAGGCGATATAATTGGCCGATTCCGACACGAAAAACTTGTTCTTGCGGAACAAGCGTGGACTCAACAACACAAAACAGGTTCGCGTTTCACGTTGAGCAAGCAGGACGGCTTTGAGCAAGAACCTAAATGTGACCATAGAATTCTGATGTACAGTAACATTCATGGAGGCTTCGTTGGTAAAGTGTCTGGTCAGTGCACGGAAGATCGTTGGTTCAAGTTGTTATCTGGGTAAGGTGCCTCACCCAGCAATCCCCACTAAAAAATTGAGCCACCTTAGAAGACGCTTATTACTACGGTACTCCTCCCGTAAGGCAAACACCACTGTCCAGGAAACCGTATCAAAGGTGCAGGCTTTTGTCCACTGCAAGCCTTGTTCAAGTTGCCGAGTAGACTAACCAAATCGTTCGAGCGTCAACACAATCGTCTGCTCAAACGTGACACTTCAAGTGCGTCCAGCGTGCGCTGGTGAAGTCGTGATATTGATGTCCGGAGTTCAAAGCCCAGGACGACCGACGACCATTCGTTCGTTCAGCTGTAGCACCCTTTCGGTGCCTAACTGCCATGCCACCCGAAGGAAGCACGAGGGCTCGGATACTGCCAGGTCGCCCAAGCCTAGACAGGGGAAGTCGAGTGGCAGATGTCGGGTTCGAACCACGGACCTTCCGGTCGGTAAACTCAGGTCTGACTCGTAGCCATCTCGCCTCCCGACCGAGGATAGGTACTACTGGTGGGCTCTAATAAGGGTGGGACTCGAAACCAGTGCTTCCCCGCTTGGGCGTAGATTCGCCAGAATAATTGTTCCAGGACAGGTTCGAACAGGTCTCTATTTCCTGATAATCGTTAAAAGAGTAATCATCTCCCCGCAAAGATAGACGTATCCCAATCCTAGGGATTTGGTTCCAACTTGCTTTATTTCCAAAGGGCGTAGAAATAAAGCAAACAATGGACCAGTTGACACCAGACCAACTGAGATGCGTGTGACATCACGCTGCATCGTGGCTTTCACTTTCGCTGTTGTGCTCAGTCCCTCGTCTTGTTACTTTTCAAAGTGCCTTTTCACCTGACACCAATTTCATAACCGTTCGCTTCAGTTTGTCCACAAACGCAAAACAGACAAAAACATACCAATTTAAGAACTCTTGAGACGACCAGCGGAGAAACAAAGTCCAAAGGTCATGTTGAAGTAATAAAACTCACGAGACTCCTCGGAATTAATGTGTTTCATCAAGCACGTCCACCCAGTGTCAACTCACACAAATTACAACTCAAAGCATGAATAAGCTGTTCCATACTACTAGGTGAAGTATCAGTAGGCTTTGAGAACACACGTCTAGATTTTGTCCAGAACCAAGATAGTGCAAACACTCGACAAGTGACTAGGATGTACATCGAGACTTCACGAAGTACACTCATTTGCAAACTGACCTGGTTTTAATGGGAGACTCAGCTTAATCCTGACTGAACTAAGGAGTTTTGAGCAACTTTGAGTGAAGTGTGTTCTGTCTAAAATATATACTCAAACTTGGTGAAATACACTCATTTACATATCAATTTGGTTTTGATCGGAGACTCATCTGGAACCCAGCTGAATCTTACGCTAGTGACGTTCTTAAGAAAAGCAAAACCACTCGTGCGTTATCGAAGAGTTCTCAGCAACCTTATGAGTAGTGTGTCACGTTCATACTTTGACATATCAATTGGTTTTGATCGGAGACTCATCTGGAACCCAGCTGAATCTTACGCTAGTGACGTTCTTAAGAAAAGAAAAACCACTCGTGCGTTATCGAAGAGTTCTCAGCAACCTTATGAGTAGTGTGTCACGTTCATACTTTGAACAATCTAAGTCACAAGGCTGTGAGCCAAGTGGGGTGCCAACCGAATGGTCTCCTGAAAGCCGCTCACGCTGTCAAAATGGACATCGTAGGATTGCTTCAAGCATCTGTCAGCCTTTCCATGCTCGTTGGCAGGCGTTGGTGAGATAGATTAGTATCCGTGTCATCATGCTGATATTGCTAGCATTGTAACGGTGTACACTACTGATGGGGCATGCGAGTAGTTTGTGATTTGATGTCCAAGCTCCGCCCCACATCTCATGGGAGATGAAGTTTATTACGGAAATTGTGGAAGTCCTTTGCAGGGTTCGTTTACTATTGTGTAATAGTCAATGAATATCCATGAAAGTTCAACAGGACGCGCGAGAATTTTTTTTGAAGAAAGTGTGCACAAGAGATGTTCACTTCTCTGTCCAATGACTTGTAACTGCTTAGTTCGTGTCTGCTAATAAATGACTTCGCAGCGAATGGCTTTCCTCCTTTCGCCTGCAGTAATAAGTGGACTGTACAGCCGAATCAGTCAACTGAACTAATCAAGCAGGTTGGAAGCCAAACAACTTAGGGTTCAGCCACCCCGATATCTTGGGACAATGAAATTAAGTAGTTATAAGTCAATTAGTAGAGGTTCGGTTATTCGAACCGCCGGTTGGAAGTTTGGAAGAATGAGTAGGTCCCAATAAATACAACCATCCTTTAAAGCTGGCGCTATGCAGCGTAGTAACCACAGCTTCTATCTATTAAAGGACATCTTCTGTGGAACGCGCGAAGCAACAGTTACTCAGCTATTCAAGGTGTCGTTAGACGAAGCTACTTTTTTCCAGTTTTATCATTAGGGTAATAGTACCAGCCCATCTTAGTCAACCATAAACGCAATCCAGATTCACCACATCAAGCTTCCGGGTAGCGTCAATGGAGGTAGGGAGACACTCACCAGTATGAAAATCGCGTGGGGAATCGATTCATCCTTCGTTAGTGGTTGCTTTTGTAAGTACGTTATCGGGCGGCACAAAACAGAATAGCCACCTATCAATGGCTTTGGGGCAACTCCACAGAAATTATTCCGAGGCTTTGGGATCAGACATTGAACTCGATAAAGCTTAGTGGTTAAGGTACGAACTTACTGACCAGAAGATCCGTGGTTCGAATCCAATTTTCGCCTCTCGAATGCTCCTGTCTAGGCTTGGGAGTTTCCTTCGAGTTGCACTACAATGGGGTGCCGAAAGGGTGTTCCACCTCAATGATTATTAACTACGGTTGGGAACAGGATGAAACGTCGTGCTGTTTTCAACAGGAATGTTAGTTAGCTATTGGTGAACGACGGCTCGAAAGCCGTGGAGTGCATGAACTCCGAATTGTTTTCAGTTACTGAAATCAACATCCGAGGTAGGAGTGGAATTCCCGCACAGAGTGCGAATACAAGTGAAAGACATTTTGCTGAGATCGTGCGTCAATCCCGTTTTTCGAAGGAGCCCGTCATTTGTGCTTGTATAAGAGACCACTGTTTGAAAACTTCAAAAGCTGCTCAGATAACCATCAGACATAAGATAACGCCATGTGGATCACATGATCGGAAACTCATTCAATGAGCTCAGGTCCCAGGGACCGTTATTGCCAAGATGTTCCTGTGACGGAAAGTCATATGATGGTGGCCTGACGCAACCCCCATACTAACTGGAATTGGTGTTTAGATTGATTAACTCTACGAAAACTATGGAACTTATTATGGTGTGAGGATTTTTCGGTCTGATGAAGGCCAACTCCCAGTTCAGTAGGCTGGAGGCCGGAACACGTGGCAAATGGTTCTGCAAAAACTGAAATACCGAAGTATTCTCTGACCCATAATTTGCCCAATGAGCTTTACATAAGAAACCCAGAAGTGGTCCAGTTTGGGTATTGGCCTCATAGCAAAACATCCCAACCTCAGTACAAGCGTGGCGATTGAACAACAGTTCTGTTGTGGATAATACTTATGACTGGCTATCTAGGCGTCTCATCCCAAGAAACACCCAGGAGTGGCGGAAATGCCCAGCAACATCACCACTACCAGAGACAGAAACATCAGTGTGGACACTAATGCTTTACTGTCGTACAACCACAAAAGTTATCTGACTATATTTAAAACCTCAAAGTGGAAAAAGTGGGCGAGGTAGGGGCCTGGTGCCGGTCCAGCACAAGCATTTTGAGGTGACCACACCACCAAGCGATCGATCATACATTTGTGAAACTGACAGCACGAACGCCAGTTACATCGAATAACCACAGTTTCATGAAATGTCTCCACTCCAGGGCAGGATGAGGGCATCATGGAATGCACCTTGACTCTTTTTAATCCCTTCCACACCTTTCTGCTAAGCCATATATTATCCACCTCGTGGTCTACGCCATTCTAAAGGAACAGGGAGAACAAAATTCGTTTCGGCAGACGATGCTTCGGCATACGCAGCACATGCCCGAGAAACCGCAGTTAGTATTGCTGGGTGTTTTCGGCGACTGAAGTGCCCAGAGCACAACCAAATACCTATTTTCTAATTACCACATTAGGAATCCGTTGACTTCATCCGACACTAGCAACGCTTCTGAAAAATCGATGGTGAAGAACCCGACGACGCCTCAAATTATCTATCGCACCCACCGTGAGGAAAGAATCGCTGTGACCCTACAGAACAGAGGAATCCACGTCTGATAGTCGGGCGACGGGATTCGGCCAAACCGCGTTCAATCAGGTACAAGAGACGGAATTACCGCTTTCGCTAACAAATATCAGAGACAAAAACTTAAAAACGGGTCTGTTTGATTAGTTCGGTTGGACAGTTGAGATGACCTCAGAAGACTAATCACTTCGGAACTCCCCTCTGCTCCCTCGATAGGAGGAAGGCAATGCCATTGAGTGCTCCCTAAGCATCACTTTAGAATCCTAATCACAAATGCCGAAATCCCAAGGGTCTCGGAAAGCTGCTGAAACCGAAACCAAGAGAGTTAAAACCACACAAATGAGCTCTGTATACGGTTGGCTAAACATAGCCATCAAATTACCTCCGGGAATTTTTTTTAAAAATAGACAGACTAGAGTAATGCAGTCCAACAGAAGCCCCTTGAAGAATTAATTCGCTTCTTCGGCAAAGGGAACGGTCTGACTATCCCACATCGTGGAAGAACTTGGCGATTGAGGTCGGTTGGAGGGAAGAGGTTTTTAAACAATCGGTAGTGCCTCGTCACAATCTAAATCATTCGACTTCAACGTCCTTTCGGTGTCCAACTGCCATGCCACTCGAGAGAAGCAAGAAGGTCGAGATACTGCCAGGCTGCCCAAGCCTAGACAAGAGCAGTCAAGATGCTTAGGTTGGGTTCGAACCACGGACATTGCGGTCAGTAATTTCGCGCCTTAACTACTGAGCCATCTCGGATCCAAGCGAGGAAAAAATATCAAGGAGTTAGGCTTTGGCTGGGCAGATCGAGAACCCCTAGGGGAGAACTATGTTTACTTCGCACGGCCGTGTTCCACCGACGTCGACTTTCAGATTAACTTGATTTGACGGACAAAACCATACCAGGCGAACACGTCAGGCGCTGCACAGAGGACAATCAAGCCGTTTAGTATAAGTCAGGCGAGGCTAAATAAGAAGAGTACGACAAACGCCTAGCCATTCTCGCACCAAAAAATCCCCGTTACACATATCACTACGCGATGAAAGTTTTGTCACGGTGAAAATTCAAAACTTACCAAACTGTTTAATAAAAACAGCTTCGGATGTATCCAAATCCTCTGAACCTTCGCGCTGTCGCTGTGGTGGATTAAGAAACGAATCGGATAGAAATCCTTCCGTATTTGCATCCGAGAACAGGTGTGGGTTAGCTGCTGCTGCTGCGGCGATGATTGGCTCATAGAATTCGGCCTCCGCAGCTGCCCGTTCGCTAGCAGACTCGAGAGGATTCCGGTCGAATTCAGCTTCGATGTACTCCAGAATAGGTTTGATCGTGGTCCAAAGACGAGTGCCCACCCGGTGATGAATGAGGACAGGCGCAATGAGGCATAAGTTCAAAAGCCCGTAGGAAATTATCAGACCAGGTAGATAGTTGCTAATCCAAATGATCATCAGACTAGAGGTGCTTGTGATAAGAAAGAACTGTCCACGGACATGCGGTCAGTAATTTCGCGCCTTAACTACTGAGCCATCTCGGATCCAAGCGAGGAAAAAATATCAAGGAGTTAGGCTTTGGCTGGGCAGATCGAGAACCCCTAGGGGAGAACTATGTTTACTTCGCACGGCCGTGTTCCACCGACGTCGACTTTCAGATTAACTTGATTTGACGGACAAAACCATACCAGGCGAACACGTCAGGCGCTGCACAGAGGACAATCAAGCCGTTTAGTATAAGTCAGGCGAGGCTAAATAAGAAGAGTACGACAAACGCCTAGCCATTCTCGCACCAAAAAATCCCCGTTACACATATCACTACGCGATGAAAGTTTTGTCCCGGTGAAAATTCAAAACTTACCAAACTGTTTAATAAAAACAGCTTCGGATGTATCCAAATCCTCTGAACCTTCGCGCTGTCGCTGTGGTGGATTAAGAAACGAATCGGATAGAAATCCTTCCGTATTTGCATCCGAGAACAGGTGTGGGTTAGCTGCTGCTGCTGCGGCGATGATTGGCTCATAGAATTCGGCCTCCGCAGCTGCCCGTTCGCTAGCAGACTCGAGAGGATTCCGGTCGAATTCAGCTTCGATGTACTCCAGAATAGGTTTGATCGTGGTCCAAAGACGAGTGCCCACCCGGTGATGAATGAGGACAGGCGCAATGAGGCATAAGTTCAAAAGCCCGTAGGAAATTATCAGACCAGGTAGATAGTTGCTAATCCAAATGATCATCAGACTAGAGGTGCTTGTGATAAGAAAGAACTGTGAAAAAGGAGAAAGACGGAACCAAGATTAGGTGAAAACGCGGAAACGGGGCTGGGAGCTTGCATACACGTAGTACTTAGGAGGGACATGAGAACAAAATTGTTGAGTGTTTACTCATATGACAGTCATGTGATTATTCAAGTGAGCTAGATATATCAACATACGGATTCCTTAGATATGCTGTATAGCAGTAAATGAGTGAGTAGTAGTCACTGTAGTGTGATCAGTGTAGTATGTTCTCTGAAACCTAATAAACCTACTGTCACTGCTCACACTGTTTCCGGAGTTGAGGGTATCCCGCAGAAACATCATTACGTTATTTTCCTCCTTTCTACCGTTCTGTCTTCAGATTTCGTCAACCTGGACTGGCCTAGAGCATCCTCTGCCCAAAGAAATTGTGTGACAATAGGAACTGAGGATAGAGTGAGGAGAATAGGTCGCCAGGTAGCCGAGAAGTTTCGCGACCGTGATTGAAGGAGAGGTGGCGCTCTATCCTGTCTAACTCAGAGTAGATCACACTGGTGATCAGCAGCTTTTGGCCGACCGGTTCTAACCACTAGCCGGTAGGTTGCGGTTTCGAAACTCCCTACTAAAGTTTCGTGAGGTGCACACTGCTGATGAATCCCAATGAGGATGAAACAGCTGTACAATGATTCTCGGTTTCCAGCATAGGCTGGTTCCACTTACAGAGTAAATTCTCTGTGGACGACAGGAAGTGCCAACATTACGCTTCCACACGATTCCCTCAGCAATTACAGTATACAACAATTCTGAACCCATTGGTATAAGATTCTTGAGTAAGGGTTACCCTTGTTTTAAAACCCCGACTATACTAAAGAACGTCAAAAGCGTCCGAACAACTATTTTATCGATTCACAATGGAATCATCGTGAAGCCCATTTTTTGGGCTTCAGATAGGTCAGGTTCAGATGAAGATATTCTTTGTCAAACACGTCCAGACAATTTCTTTGCTTTGTCAGCTGATTTCATGCTGTGCTGAAATAGGTTTCTACTGAAAAGACACATGGATCAGATATTTCCTGGCCCAAAATGATTGGCAAATAATTGGTATTTGATAACGCTGCCTCCGAATGCAGTTTAGTCATAGGGCCTGGTTGCCGTAGAGACCAAACGGTACTTCTTGATGAGCGAAGTCCACGTCAGCAGTGATAGAGGAAAACTAAACCACCACCAGGAGTTGTGCGCCAGTGAGGTGACATCGTGTAGCTTTGTTGGTCCTCAAAACTGCCAAGTGCGCTTCCATATGCCTTGGGTTCTATGGTATCAAGTATTCTTTCAATATAGCGAAATAAGCAGGACCTAAGAAGGCGTTCTGTCAGAATGGTTGTTGCTGACTTGCAGCTGCATTTGCACTTTGTTTGACTTTCGGAATAATGTAGAGAACGCCTCTTCAACTGTCTTTCATTCATCGCTTAGACTCTTGTAGCTGTCGAGGTCACTGGAATGGACGAAGAGTGCCTTTGTAAATTCGAAGCATTTAGATCTGAATTGAAATACTCAGATGCTGCTCGTTATTTCCTTCAAAGTTGTGGTATTGAGAGCATAAACCACACACTATGGAGGCGCTCTAATAGCAAACTTATGAGTCTCATTCACGACGAAGCAGATAGTACACTGCAGTTGTGTAATTGCAAAGTCTTAGGCCCACCATGAATACCGCAGTGTGGGACAATTATGTGACTACTCACCCGTAGTCATAATCCTAACAACTTCAAGACATGGGATGAGTCAAGTAGAAACCATTTGTGTGGTTGAACGTCTCTGGAACAATCGCCCCCAGGATAGCCCATTTTGATAAGCCAGAGTATTCATCATTAGTCCCACCAAAGGGTAGGCAACCGTAGTCTCAACCCCGAAAATTGAAGGGAAGTTTTTTTTTAAAACGATCGACAAGTCATCTGGACAAAAGCAGTGACAGAAGGCGAAAAAGACAAAAAGAAAACAGATACACTCACAAGAAGTGGTCGTTTCCTTCGACATGGCGCCAGACTATTAATAATGGACATGATATAGTACAGTAGGCGTGCAACCCAAAGACTGAGTTCCTCAACCGACAAAATATGTCCCTCTTGCAAAGAAGAGGCGATAAACTCCGCGAAACTGTCAGGTGAACGGTTCGGATCTACAAACCAATGAGAATGTTACGTTACAATATTACCATCGATCAGATATACAAGCCAATTCCGCATCAGATCGCATATCACGTACACGGAGAGCAGAATACAGACCACAAACAGGCAGCTCTGGTTGGCCAGCACAATCGCCCTGAAGAAATTCGGGTACGCTACATATTTGTCTTACCAGAACACCAAGTGCACCGCGATGTTGAAAAAGAGACTTGCTAGTACTCGTTCCCATATTAGCAACCCTTGAATACGTAGAATCAAAAACTCCCAGCGGTTGAGCACAGCATGAACATCCGTGTAGAATTTGTTCGGAACGCCAGACATAATGGGAATAATCTGAGATCCGACTTTATGGAAAAGGTCAGTTTTCGTCAACAGATCACTGAAAGGAGGAAGAAATTCACATTCAGATTTTAAGCAGCTTAAGTATAACCGCAAGCAGTTGGATGAAACAGGGATGTCCGGAAGAGAACACAAAAAAGAGCTAACTAGAGAAGTAAACTACATTCAGAGCGCCTGTTTCGGTATGCCTGTTTTGCAGTGCGCTTGAACGAACTGCATATGCATATGGATTTATGGAGGTGACAAAACGGATCAATTCTGCAAGAGGGCCGGTCACCAATGAGGTTCCAGTAAACAAATCAGATATGTTCAACAGTAACCTCAAAGGGAAACTTCAAACAAATTATCTACGATCTACTCCAGATCGACTGTCTTCTTTGAAGGTGTGACTGGAACTAGAAAAAAACAGACACGAAACCTTCCCCTTCTACCCAAACTTGTCGAACGGGAATCACTGGTCTAAGGCGGCTGACCTTCAAACCACACATTCGTGGACACGTTTACGCGGTCAAACTCGGTTTATTACCATTCATTTTCACAGACCTGACAATCACGTAATGGACATATAATGGACACATGACAACTGACGAAGCAAGAACAGTGCGGTTTCTTGTGTTTTTAATGCATGTTCAATTAAAATCGTTGGTTTTTTGACGAACTAATGTTACCACAGCAGCAAGACCCTAAAGATTCCTATCAATTAATTCGACTCAGAGCCACAAAGCTCCAAGTGTTCCAACTAACATCCTCATCTAGGAAGAATGGATCGTCCGGCGACGGAAAACCCGCGTTATCCCATAAGTGCTCATCATATGGTGTTTTACTGCCTCGCTCCTTCATCTACAACGGATAAACGGGGCAAGAACTGATAAACACTGGGCGTACAGATATCAAATGCACTAGTACCGCAACAAAGTCGTCTGGCTCATGGTTGGACTACCAGCACCAAACAGCCTCTACTTTACTACAACAATGTCAATAAACTCTTGGCACCAGACTCCTCAGTTACGGAAGCAACGGGCTCGAGATATAGGGCAAGTGAACAGCAATTACGAAAAAGTGTCGATTCATCTCCAAAAAACAGGCAGATTGGTAAGGTAAGCTTTGTCTCCTTGCTGCCACAGGCATTTCCTATTAGCAAGAGGTGCTCTGGCTTTCGCGATGCGTAATGAGACCTCTCTCAAATAATCCCACCAACGCCTACACAGCTTCCCAAATAAACTAAACTGTCGACTACGCCGAACCTGTCATTGCCTAGGATTAGAACAGGATCAAGCCCTTGCCAGTCCAATAGGATAACTCTACATTCCTTATCACGCCACCCAAACTGGGCCAGAAAATTTGCCCTACCTGAGCGGAGTTAGCAGTCTAAAACGATATCATCAGCAATATGTAACTCAACGACATCCCAACAAGTTGCCTTTCCGGTACACGAAGTCAAAAAGGAGGCAAGACAGCCTTGCTGCACTCTAGTGAACGTGCTGAAGAGAGAAGCTGACGGCAGGTCCTGATTACCCCGTGCAGAATTCCCATTCGTTTTTATGGCTGGCTTATTCGTGCTATGATCACCGATAGGTTTGTTGTCCACAAACTCTTGTGCACACAGATTGTGATGAAGGTAATGATAAATACAGATAGCCGTTTAATTGCTAAAACCTTTCAGTGACACGTCATGTTCCTCGAATGAAGTAAGAGGGCTGTGATAGTGCCATGTTTCTCAGATGAGCGCGAATTTACTGACCAGAAGGTCCGTGGTTCGAACCTGGTCTCCGCCTCTCGACTTCCCTTGTCTAGGCTTGGACAACCTGGCAGTATCCCAGCCCTCATGCTTCCTGAGGGTAGTATGACAGCTAGACACCGAAAGGGTGTTATGGCTGAACGATTTTTCAGGTTTAGAAGGCCCAGACACGAACAGTCGAGATCCTGGGGGTAGGTTGGAACCACGGGCCATCCGGTCAGCAAGACTGGACCTTAGACACTGGGCTAACTCGAGTTCTACAGACCACTGTGGCTCACACGCAGGCGTTCATTCACATTGCGCGTGCACACGCACTACCTGCACCGGCGAGCATGCTCAATCTGTCAGTTCACTTACTTTGATGATCACTCACTCTGAACTCTGTTTTGGTATATCACAGTTGAGTAGTACTGTAACAATCTTCCTCTGCGTTATCGACAATCAGTAGGTTACTGTGATCAGTGAATACCGTAGTGGCAAACTGGTTACAAAAACCAGATGTACCTGCAGAATAGGTTGTTATATACATTAGACGGGGACCCTACTGTTTCATTACCGAACCGTAAGTCTGACGAGTCCAAAATGCAATCTTCGTCAGGTTTTACACCTCGATTATATTAGAACCCGAACAGGTGTACTGATACGTGATTAGTGAGCCTCCTACGTTGCCACGATGCTTTTGAATTGTCTGGCTCACCCATCTCATCTCTTCTAATCTTTGTTTTATTTTGTGAGCCAGAACTTGGCTCGAGGTGCATCAAGACAATTCATATTAACACACCCAGCCAGTTCTTCTGGCTTCCACATCCTGTTCACTCTGTCAGACACAGAGGCATTAATTCCCAAACGCCCATACTTACACGGCTTGCCACACAATGTCCTGTTGACATTGCTGCTGAACCCTTCGAAGCCACGGATAGGACGTTTGCAACCAGTAACCTCTATGACAATGAAAGAGGTCATTTTCCCCCGCTGCTTCAGAAGCTGTAAAGGCTGCATACTTGCCGTACAGTGGTTATAGCTACCACAGTTTCTTTCGCCGATGGTTTGGGGAGGTGGGGTAGACCGCTAAGTATTGGAAGCAGTAACTAGTATAATTGATGCGAAAACATAGTACTGTCGGTGGAATTTCCATTCGGCAGATCGGGAAGGGAGCTATGCATTGAAGGCAACAGCTCGGATGCAGGAGCGTTAATGAGGGCCTGACTAGGTTACGTCTAACAACGTCCCTAACTATTGATGTGTCCCGTCTCGAGGTCCCCACCTGGAGAGACGGTAATGATCAGCGCAGCTTCAGATGAAGCTCGTCTGTGACAGCTTCCGTTGAGAGTCAAGTCAGATTAACGTAATGTCTCTCAATTACTATGGCACATGCGTTCCCCCAAGGACAGCAACAAACCTGATGGTTTCATACCCCGTAATCGGTGAACGAAATTCGAAAAAATTGATATCAACTTGGTTTGTCCACCATTGGGACAGTTAACTCTCCGGAAAAAAAACTGGCAGATACAACAGATAAATTAAACGAATGATTCTTCACTATCTTCGTGAGTCAGGTAACACTAGCGCTCGCCATGGCAGCATCAGTCCCAAATTGATTGCATCAACTACACCAGCGAATTTGTACTAATTCCTCAAGTCAAGAAGTTCACTGACACCAGCTCTCCAAACACGTGTCCGGGTATAGGTACATAATTTCATGTTCATACCCAAAGACATTTGTTAATCGCCCCGGGGAAACGCAATGGCCAGTCAGTGATGGTGGGAACCACCCGACGGCTCTTCGCGGCTGTTAATAATTCCACATGTCTCGGCCTCCAGAGACACTGTGGGTTCTAGCGAACATTCCTCCAAACCACTACCGTTAGCACTTCGCACACCTAAAACTGCCGGCATCAAAACCTACAGTCACAAGCTCCTTACGCGTAGTGTACACACAGAGCTTAGTTCTAAAGCTGATTATCGGGCGTTGCCATAGAGTAGCAGGAGGCTGCATGAAGGCGTTACATAAATTTCTCCTCGTGCCTAGCCGTCTAGGGGAATGAGGGGACGGACAAACATGCTTGTGGTGAAGAACGTCTTCCTTCAAGGACTCAGTCCAAGTCAAAATAGAGAAGCACAGTGGCCGGTACGGTCAATCATAGGCTGTATTCCTGCCCGATCTTCACTCAGGACGACGATAACGTCAGCGTACACAAGGTCTGTTATGCATGTGGTGGGGCCTATATGTACTCTAGGAAAGCCGTTGAGGATATACAGCATCAATTGCAATACTGAAAAACATTGACAAGAAAGAGCAATTAAAGTTTGAAGCTCTTCCCCATTTACCCGGGTGCGGGCTCCTATACTCGAGTAGTAGACTTAAGTGAGATTCAGCAGCTCACCCGGCGGGCCATCAGCTTTCTTGATAGATCAGAGGCGTCCCCTATTGAGTGGGTCAAATGTACGGTTAAGGATACCGACAGATATGACCCAATCGCGCAGTCAGTGGCACTCGTGCATTAAAGCTATCGTCTTCAATGAGAAGCTGCCCGGCTCCCGAAATAGAGTGAACATATCGGCGCCATTGATTGGTCACATCTCCCACGCTTTCCCTTTTCCCGGTGATCGAAACTGTACTAGTTGGGATCTGTTCCAACACATACAGTATGGAAGCCGATGAAGCAAACAGTGTTTGGTTTCTGGAACTGGCAGTGGTGTTCGGAAAATCAGTAGGGCGTGTACAATTGAGCAAAGCAACCTATTCTTCCATGGAAACTTCCCCAACTTGGTCTGATGTGACGTTCATTCGCCTCTCTGAGGTGGCTTAGTAGAAGCACAACAAAGATTTTGGCGGCGATATCTATCAGGCTATCTCAGTAGTTCTCACAGACCGCAATAGTAGTACAGAGATAACCTATTCCATCGAAAACGCTTCCGCTTCATTTATTTAGGAGAAAAGCTTATGAAGAAGTTACAGTGGCTCCACTTTATTTAATCAACTGTTTTCAGTCACTTCGCTTGGCTTGATCAGTAAGAGTACTGTTAGGCAGGAATCCACGCGGATCCTGTTAGGCACCACGCGGATCCCACTATACCGCACGTCTTTAGGCGCTGCTATGGCCGAGAAGCCTAGCCCGCTCGAGGTTGGCCTAAAATAAAATACGCTTGCCGGTCCGGCATCAAGACGAGATCTGATTGGTCAACAATCTGGACCCAACAGCCAAT